CAGAGTCTTGCTTCTTTTGAACGTTCTCTCTTTAATGGAGTCCCTAAGCATGTTTCAAGAACTTCTGTTTCTGTTCCTGATGTCCCTGATAAGTACAGGTAGTTGTAGATAGAACCAAAGAATCAGAGCCTGCGGTGGGAGGCTACCTTCTCCATTGCTAAAGGTGAAGTCATGGTCAGTGGTTGAGGTCTCCTAGGCACAGCTCTAGCACAAAGGCTTGGCACAGGTGGTGTATCTGAGGAGTGAGTGCAGAAAGTCCAGGTGAGGAGCTAAACTCAGTGGTACAGTGAGGGAGACCCCTGCAGGACCTGCCCATATTTTCCCAAGACTCCTCTAAGTTTAGGGAAATGGCTTTCTTCTTGGGTCAGGGATGGTTCCTGGAGGCCAGATAAGCCCAGGTGAACTTTAGGTAGAAAAGTAAGTCCTAGAGCAAAGGGCAGAGATGCCACTAGCATGTACACATTGCCTTCACACTGGAAAACACTACTCTGAGCCTTGCCTCTGGTGCTCACAGTATTGTGTATCATTATTTCTACCTTTATAAATAAATCTTTACATGGTCATTCTACACCCAGCTGACTTCATTTGATCTGAGGATTATTTTCACATTAGAGACTGTTATCCTGTTTGAAAATCAGAACAGGTGGCCACAGTTCCCCAGGGTTAGAACTTGATGAAATCTCTTCCAGAGAGAAAGCCCTGGTCACACCTGAGGCACTACATAGCCAAATCCCAGGGCAGCCAACCCAGGGAATAGGAATAAGAACACAAAGGCCAAGAGAAACAAATGAACCAAGAGAGTTTAAACAATGGTAAGAAAAAAATTTAACCTTCTTGCTATTCAGTGGTCGAGTGTACTGCCAAAACAAACTGTAAGGAATTCTCAGACATTGCTGGTTGGAGACTATACTGATCAGAACAGCATCTTCAAAAACAATATGATAACAGAAGACAAATATAAATATTTGGAAGGAAATAAATCACAGACACATGCAGACAGGTACACACATGCATATATACATATTTATATATGTGTGGATCAATGAATATTTAAACAGCAACATTGTAAAATACACCAAATAGATCTAGGCTTTCTAAATTGATAATAAGTGGTATTTCATCAAATATTCCATTATTCATCAAAAGATTTAGGTATGCAGCTCAAAGGTAGAGTGTTTGCTTAGATGTCATGAAATTCTGGGATTGATCTCCAACATTCTCCCGTCGACACACACACACACACAGAGGTTTCATAAGAGTTCATACTAATTTAATTGTGAGGTACTTACAAGTATGTATAATATGTACATACATTTGTAAGTTAAGTTGAATCGTATGGGATTAACTGAGGAAAAAGCAAATTGGTTCAACTGTGTCCAATTGCAGCTCAATATCAGATACACTATAAAAGTCTTTAGTATTGCTTTTTTTAAAAGTCTCTTGAAATTTTATTTTGTATTTTCATGGTGTTGGAAATGAAACCCAGGGTCATGCACATTCCGCACACGTGTCTCATTCCTGAACCTATAAAGACTATTTCTAGGGGGAAAATCTGAAATGACACTACAGGTGAAGAACTGATTTTAGGGCAGGGTTTGTGCTGCTTTCCTTCCTCTTAGTACTCCTTTGAAAATTGATTGACTTACTAACAAACAATTCGGTATATCCACCTCTCATTTTCTTTGATAAGCATGGGTTATGCCATTTCATTTCATTAGCAAAATGTTCTATGCACATGACACTTAAGATCTGCCTCAAGAACACAGAGCAGGTGTTTCCCCCAAACTTCAAGGACCAGCAGCTAGTGCAGGCACCTGCCCTCGGGACTACCTATGCATCATCACTTCTCCTGTGACCATAATAATAAGCAGATCCTTTCAGCATCATCCCGCTACTGCCGAATCTCTAGAGGAATGATAGCCATGAGCTTATGTGCCTTGGAAAGGAAGGGGAACCAGACATGCAACAGGCTGCAGGGGGACACCAATATGCAGACATTTGGGATGGGGGTACCATGTGTTCTCTGCTGTAAGCTGAGGGACCAACTACAGAGCCTCTGTCTGTTCCATACTATTCACACTGGCTTAACAAAGACTCCATAGTGATCTTGACGTTCAGTGTGATCGATGACCACTATGTAGTGAGTATCCTGTTAACTGATTTTTTTTTTTACATAATTGTGAACTCAAATTCAGGGCCTCTCCTGGAGCTGGCTATGGTGTCAGGCAGTGTCCATGAGGCCCCACTTCTTCAGACAGATTCTGGTAACACCCAGAGGCAGCTCTGACCCCTGCATTACTTGGATCCAGCACACTGAAAAGGACTTCCCTTTCTAGCCCTGGATGAGCAACACTGAGCACCAAGAATGCTATAGAAAGACACACTCCCAACACCCAGTCTCCCATGCACTCAGCTAAATAGGAAGGGGAAAGCTGGCAAACGCTACTCAATTAAATAGAGTTTTTAAAAAAAAGTCCCCTTGTGATTTGAGCTTGTACAAGAACTAAATAAATAAAACAGAAACCTTTATTGAGCCATCTCCTGCCAGCTACAAAAGCATAGAACTAGAGCCCCTCCCTAGCCCATAATCCCCTGGGAAAACCCAAGACTGTCTTTTGAAGATATTAGAAATCCTCCATGCCTGGCTTCATCACTCCATATAAGCACACAGGTTTCTGAACTAAGTACTCAGCAAATGCAATATAAAAATCTTGTTAATCACTCAGTCCATAAAGCGTGACCTTTCTATGGCTCATTCTTTAAGCAGCTCAAAATCTCCTGAGCTCAACTATCAAATTCTCATGAGCATGAGTGACTTATGAAATTGGCTGGCATATTTTATAAAGTCTCAGTATTGCAGGGGTAGCATTGCTTTATGACAGGGTAGTAAACTTCAATTGACCTGTTCTACTCCAAAACTGAAGGGACTCTGGGACCTTTTGGAGTCAGCACAGCACTGGTCCATTGCTCCTCATACACTTATTGTTCTAGCTGATTTTCATATAAACATCTCAAAATTGAAGTCCAAACTGAATTGCTCACCTGATGAGTTAAGCATACACTGAAGTATCATTAGTAAAATCCTCCCCCAGCAAAATCCTTTGGAGAACTTTAGGGATCTGTGAGCTTACCCGATCCACTCCTTTGTCCAGAAAGGCAGGGCTAGCTCCCTACTCTATCCCTGAAAGTTGACTGAAGACTAAATTAATACATTGGACTCAATGGTTTCTAAAATTCAAAGTTGAAATTTAGACAAAATGATGGAGGGAAATTTTCCCTTAAATTTCTCAAAAGTTCATTATCAGAGAGATGGCTTAGTAGATATAAGGGTTCTTGCTAAGGTATCACAAGACCCACATGGCAGAAGGAGAGAATAGACATTCTCACATTGTCTTCTAACTTCAACATGTTTACTGTATCCTGTGAGTGTGTGTGTGTGTGTGTGTGTGTGTGTGTGTGTGTTACATATACATACATATATACACTTGCATAATAAGTAAATAAACATAAAAGTTTTAAATAATTCATGGCGACATACTGTACCAGCTGCTTAGAATGCTGCAGAAATGATCCTGCAGCCTTCTTGACTGGAAGCTATTCAGAGTAAGGGAGGGGCCTGAGATGGTCTAATTGCATGAAAGCATATCAAGGAATCTTGAATTCAAACACAGGAACTCAACCCTAGGGGAGATGAATGTGGTGTGCCATTCTCCTGATGGCCCCCATCCCATCCTACTCCTCTTCTGTGTGGGCAAAAGTGCAGAGTCAGAAAATAACCCTCAGCCCTTTCAGAAACACCCCTTCTTCATACACTCTGTGGTCTCCTCTGGCGATTTCATAAGTCAAGTATACATGAGTAAGATGCCAGTCACAACCTAAACAGCAGACACCAACAAAATCCCAAAGAAACAGTTCAAATAATCTTGGGTACCCTAGGATCTAGTAGGCAAGAGCAGTTGCACCATGGCAGGAACAGGAGAAGCTCACATGGAATGTCCCAGGGCAGACTGAGGAAGAAGTTTGAATTAAGGAACCCGACTGAAGACTTGCACATGAAGTTACCACTAGGCTCCACTGTCAGGCTAGACATGAGTGAGTGACCTGAATCCATTCATTTGCCGGCCTTCTGGTTCCTGAGATGGAGAACTGAGTTTGCTTTTGAATGATAGTACATGAATAGGTATAGTACATGCACATTCATACTGCCAAGAAATAGAAAACTGCCAGATAGACAGGCGGGAGTGAATGCTTTTCCTGCTAGAGGCTCAAGGAGCTGTCCCTGCCTCCATTCTTCCTTTCCATGGCCAGCACTCAGAGTCCAGCTGGGCCTGGCTTGCTGTGGAAGGGATGACCCAGCCCTTGCCCTCTCCCCACAGCCCCTGCTCTACAGCCTCCCTGTGTCTGCTGCAGAGAAGGCAAAGGTGTTTCTAGGAAACAGCCTGGCAGGGAGAAACATGCCACTGCAGAGTTTGGGAATTTGCTTCGGATTCACAAGGCCATTTCTGTATTCATTACAATTACCCTCCCAGTCTTCATTACTGCCTCCTGTGTTCTGCTGCACTCTGTGAAGAAATCCAACTGGGCTACAATATTGTACTGGCTCATTTTTGTGCCCAAAAGCCAAAGTAAGAAATAAAAGTCCTTGGAAGGAGGTTCACATACAGTTCTCTCCTCTCAAAACAAGATTCAGGAATCGCTTTATTTAAAAACGGGATATTCCCTGTGGGGCTAAGATACCCATAGGGGGTCATCCCTGAGGTTTGGGACCTGAAGCCAGGCCTGAGGGTAGGAGGAATCTTTCCCACACTGGCTGGTACCTCTTCCCTATCCCAGCAGCTCATGCCTTGCTGACCTCTCTTCTCCTGCTTGCTCAGATCTCATATTCTTGAACTCCTAACATCTTTCAGCCTAAACACAAGTGCAGTGGGGAACACAAGTCCTTCCCCAAGGACCCCATGGACACACCTCCTAATTCCCTCATGGTTGTTCAGGGTTCTTACCCCTCTCTCCAGCAGCATATCTCGGAAATGGGTCACACGCTCCTCCAGGGGCAGGAGAATCTGTGGGGGTGGTGTCTGTGGCCCCTTGTCTACTCCCTGGGCCTCCTCTGGTCCACAGCTCTCACAACTTTCAGTCCTACAGGGAGACAAGATGCAGAGTTAACCATGCTTGAGGAGATCCAACTGGTTCCCACTGAAACCTTAAATCCCCCTGAGAGCACTCTTTACAGACTGAAAAGTCTTGAGTCAAATCTAGTGGCTCATGCCTATAATCTGACTTGTGAAAGCCTGAAGCAGCAGGGCTGCTGTGGGTTGGAAGCCTAGACTATAGAGTGAGACTTTGTCTCAAACCAGTAAACAAACAAAGCAAGAAAAGAGAAAAAAAAATAAAATCAGTCTTGAAAAGCTCTTTGGGCTAAGTTGGCAAAAGAGACTTTTCTTGCCTCAAAAGTCAAGCGGCTTTACTGGCCTATAGCCTCAGTCCCAAGATGATGATGGCTGTTTCAGAATCATAGGACTGTCTCTAAAATGGTCATACCCTGGAGAGTAGAAGAAGAGGGAAAGGTAGACCCACCCTTCCCAAGCACACTTGATGTGTGCTTGTCAAGATGGCAGGTCTTTTCATAGCTCTGCCTTATTCTAGAAGCACCTGGAGGTCCTCTCAAATGTCTAAGTGCCTGTGTCTGGAAGAAAATATTTGATCAACATTGGTATCATTATTCCTCATGCTGGCTTCTCCTCTCTGACAGAGTGCTGTGACATCCCTGTCTTTGAGGATGCAGCTGACCTTTGCCCTGTCCTGTACTCCAGAGTTCATCCTTACCCCAACAACTCTGATTCCTTCTTGGGTCTGTTGCCCAGCCTAACTGTCTATGGTCAGGCCCGTGGCAGTGTCTGTTCAAAATGACAAGCAGAGTTGGTACTGCTGGGATGGACACCCCCAGCACTAGTCACCCCTCTGTAGCACCCTTGTCTTTGCTGTTCCCAGGTCACGTTGGCCAGGGATGGTAATGTCATAGAGACAATACTGTAGACAGACTGCCCAAACCAGCAGAAGTACCCCTGTGGGAGACACACGGAGCTAAGCTTTGTGGAAGTCTAGCCATGTGCTGATAACATTCAGTATTCTGTGCCTAACAAGGGTTTTGGTTCATAGGGCTGTAGCAGAGATTATTCCAGACTAATGGGGACTATGCAAAGGAACAATAAAGTAGTGCTGAAACTATGGGGGGGATTTTATTTATAGACCAGATATTTCAGGAAATGTACCATCATTGCCTCTCCTACAATGAGGCGTTCTGAAAAGGGAAAGCTACCAGTTGATCTGTGATCTATGCACCAGACTGCAAAGTTATAATTAGGATGTCATTGTAGTAAGTTAGCCCAAAATAGAAGCATGGAAACAAGGCTTGTATTGTTGTACCTTGAGCGCATCATGATCTCCTGTTATTGCTTACCCAACAAAATATTTTGTTCAGAGCCACTGGAAGCCTTCCAGAGTATGGGGCTCCTGGCTTGCCTGCATCAGTCAGAGGCAAATGCAAAGGTCTGGTCATATTTCTGGGTTCTTGTGTTGGGGTGGGCTTTGTACCTTTAATAAAAGGTAAAGCTGAGCGCTCCCTGTGGGTGGCAAAGTTTGTTCACTCTGAATTTTGCCTAGAGGGAAGGGCATCTGACACTGGCTTGGTATCATGATGGCATGTCACTCTGATGTCGGTATTTACAGAACCCTCAGTCATCCTCTGAGACTCTTAATCTCAGTCATCCTCCACAAAAACCTCAGTTTTATCCCTGCTTTTGTAAATGTCCTAGCTCAAAGTGAAGTTTGGAGGGGCTGGTTTTGTCCAATCTGTCATCCACAAAGACGTTCCCCAGCTCTAGGCACCAGCACCCCAGAGTCTCCCAACTCTGGTGGAGATCATACTATTTGCCTCCTGTTTCCTCTGTTACTCAGCAAGATGTTGACGTGACCATCTCCAGCCCCACAGAGAGGCTCTGACCTCCTGTGACTGCTCCTCAGCCCAGCCCAGCCCTCAGTGCATATCAAGATCACCCACAAGCTTTCAGATGCCTTTCAGCCAGGTCCTCCCTGTGGAGCCATCCTGAGGCTATACTAGTTGCCCAGGCAACAAAATGGCAAGCCTCAAATAAATAGTTGTCTGTGGTAATCTAGAGGGCTCAGGTCACTCTGCAAGCCCATCTTATCAGTGTCAACTGTCATGCTCCCCATGTGGAAGATGTGCAAACCTGAACTACAGGATCAGTTGGGCAAACCAATATAGGGCCTATGCTCAAATATGGGGCAATAGCAGTACCCTCATGAGCTGCTGGAGGGTTAAGGTCATCCCCTGAAAGATATCTAACTCTGACACCTCTCACACACCCCTATTCACAAAGTATCATACATTGTATCAGACACAGAGAGCTTTGAGCAAGCTAGATACCTCATCCTTGCAGGCCATGTAGTTAGGGGTGGGGGACATGGATTCAAGAGTGGTGCATACACACAACCTACAGGGGTAGTCAGAGCTGAAGTCCCAGCATCATAGGACCTAGTAGATGTGCTCTTGGGCTGAACCTCTGGATGACATTCCTATCATGCCACAGCATCTTCTCAGGAATAGAAGGCCTTTGGATTGAACATGAGAGGAGAAAAATGAAGGTTACCTCAGGCCACTGCACCCAAGAGGCTACCACCTTGTGTAGAGAAAGCTGTTGTCTAAGATTCTCTCGGGGAGAATCCCATGGATGTAATGGGCTCAAGGCAAAAAGCACCAATATGAAGAGGCTATGTGTTCAGTGTGCTCTGTACCTCACGACGAGCCTGCCTTGTGTGCAGAATCAAGCTGTGGAAATCTCTGGATCTTATTTTTAGTGAGGTATGAAGTTTTGACTAGATGCTTTTGACATGGCTGCAGCACAATTCTGTGATATGATGTGTCCTATTGACACCACACCACTGAAACAGCTGGAAGGATCCAGTGTAGAGAGTGGTAGCCAGAGACCCACCCTAAGAACACATCACTGCATCCTGTTACACTGGGGCTTCGTCTCTGACTCCTCACTATGGCTGGGGCTTGTTGTGTCTGTAGCACTCTCTTGCTGCAGCTCCTACAGATCTGGTGAACAGGCCTCTTCTGTTGTCACCCAACTGTTTAACAGTAGGTAATTTCAAAGGCAGATGTCTCCTACCTCCAAAAGATCTGAAGCCAGGGTCCTGCAAATGTCAGTTTGGAAATTGAGGCCAAGGATATAGTCTTAGTGGTAGAGTAGAGGTGTCCCCAGCCTGGCCAGCCTCCCCTCTATCTGCCTCACTTTGCAGGTGCTCACCACCAGCTGGAAGACCCTGCCAGAGCCAGCCTGAAGCTCTCATGGCACATTCACATAGCACATCAGCTCTTGCAGCTGAGCTAATGGTCAGTGACTGTACTGTTTACCCTCCTGGGTCCAGTGTACAGTGTGGTGATAGGCAGAGTAGGTGGCCTGGACCCTTACGACTTGGGCCTGTGATGGCACTTTTAAGGTCTTTGACAGATTGCTGACAGAGAAGAGAATGTCCTGACTGACCAGAGGGTCTGTATTGTCCACAAGGAGAACCTTTCCAGATCCTAGACAGGACCACACTTGAGCAGTCACCAATGAGGTGATCCACTCTGTCCTGCTAGATTCATCAGTCATGTGGTTATTGGTTAAGGACTCAGCCCCTAACACCACCCTAATCAGGATATGGATAGGGATTTTCCATGGAACCAGTCTTCCCACTAGTGAATTGCCCAATCACAACTAATGAAATCCAAATAAAGCTCTTGAATAGTGGCGTTTTAGTCACTTTCTAGATAGGATCACACCAGTCCCCTGTGCAGGCAGTGCACACCTGCTCTTCAGAGACAATGCTCCTATTCTTGAGATCTGTCCCAGTTTTACCAGTCTCTTCCACTGGATGTTGCTGAATTGTCCCCTTTGTGGGAAACAAATCACAAGTATATCATTTTTTGGTGAGTCATGTGAAGTTTTGGCAAATTAGCCAACTGAACCCAAAGGAAGGTCATGGATTCCCCCACATGTGTGGCCATGATATGTGGATATATGAGCAAATATTCAGATAGACTGCCTCATCACATTGCTATGGAAATGTAAACAAACAATAGGACAGGTAGGCCCCTCAGGCTGTGATTAGGGTTAGATGAGGTCAGGACAGTGGTATGAGTGGCTTCATTACAAAGATTCCTGAGGTTGCAAATATATTCTGTGTCCCCCTGTGATGCCCCATGACACCACAGGACTCAGTTTTTAGGTCTTGAACCTCCAGACTGTGACCTAGAATAACATCAATTACTTATAAGTGACCTGGTTTCTGATGCTCTCATTTATAGCAGCAGCAGATGTGGATGAAGACATTAGAGACCACACTTACAATTGGTATCTGCAGTGTGAGCCACCATGCTGGGATAGTTCCTGACCTGGGGGCCTGAGCTGTCTTGTGGAAGTTGGTAGGGATACCGGAAAGACATGTAAGACACTCAGTGGGGGTCAGAAAGGTATGATCATAATTAGGCCCAGTGAGCCCTCTTCTACATGGTAGGCATTTGGGAGGTCCCTCCAGCCCAGGTGGTGTGTGGAGGTTCTCTTTGTGGCAGGATCCAGACACCACCGAGTCTTCTGATGCCACACAACCATCCATCATGAGGCTGAACTAGAAACGCTAACTGAAAGGGCATGGCTGGAGGCTCACTGGTCTCACTTTTAGCAGGGTCTACTTACTGGTGTGTGCAATGACTCCTGCTCCCAGCACCAAGCTAATGGTTCCCTCCACGAAAGCTCCCTTGCCACAGAAAGGGCACAGAACAAGCCACTGAAAAGAAATCAGTGCAAAACAGGGAAGAAACTTGGAGTGAGGGGATGGTCTGGGGCCGTTCCAGAAACTAATGTAGTAAAGAGGAGTCCTGTGGGTGCCTAGGAGAACATTTCAGACTTCTAAGAATGTTCCAAAGAGTAAAAGGAGACACATGGCTTGTGAGGCCCATGAGAGGGCAGAGCCAGAGATCAACATGGACCAATTAGGTCCCTACAGTCTTCTTGTCTACCAGAATTTGACTTTTAATTCTCAGGGATCTGAGGATCACAATGAAGCATGCT